CTGACTGTTAGCGTCAAATCCGTGTTCCACGCCGGACGCCCCGGAGCCTGACACTGACTGAACAGCAATGGTCGAGTAAACCGGCACCAAAAGGAGTTGTTGTTAGAGAAGCAAGCCTGCCCCCAAAGAAGGGAAAGAGAAATGCCCGAGTGCGCTTATAGAAAAGGCCTTGAGCACCCAAGAGGCACTCACATCCAAACGTCTACTTGTTAGCGTCAAATTCGTGCTTCCACGCATTTGAGCACAGACGTGCTGAAGCCTGACACTACTACTGCAGCAGCTTGCACTCACAAATGCTTTCTATACGACGCTTTGAACGTAATAAAACAGAAATGCCAGAGTGTGCGCTTATAGAAAAAGCCTGTAGCACCCAAGAGGCTCTCACATCCAAACGTCTACTACTACTGCAGCAGCTTGCACTAACATGTAAATGCTTTTTACGACGCTTTGAACGTAATAAAACAGAAATGGCAGAGTGTGCGCTTAGAGAAAGCCTTTAGCACCCAAAGGGCACTCACATCCAAACGTTAACTACTACTGCAGCAGCTTGCACTAAATGCTTTTTACGACGCTTTGAACGTTAAAACACTACGTCAGTCAAACGAGGGATGGAATGAGGTAATGAGGCAGTGGCTCTGTTGCCTTGTGCGAGATGCTTGTGACTACCGTCGTTTTTCCTGTTGCAAGACCTGCCTGCGGTGAGGATTGAGTGGTGCACCTGGTCTGGTCTGGTCTGGTCTTGTCTGGTTGGTGTGAAGGACCACAGTAGCACGGATTTGACGCTAACAGGAATGGAAAAAAAAAAAAAAAAATCAAGAAAAATCCAAGGGAAAAGACAGTTTAATTATCACTTGTGTTGCCCAAGCTCGGGCTGGAGAGATCAGGGTCCCGCCGTGCCAGGAGCCATGGGGCCACAAGACGGTGGTTTCTACATGTTGTTGCCTTTCCTGCGCGAGCCAGCCTGGCTGATGCACGGTCGTGCTATGGGAGATGTTGCAAATCAGGGCAACCGCGCTCCGGGTCACTCGCTATGGGGGTTGTCCCTCTCTTTTGAAAAGGGCCATCGACATGGTGCCATTCACATTCACATCAATAATTCTCTCTCTCTCTCTCTCTCTGCCGTCTATAATGCTGCCTCTGCCTCTGTCTCTGTTTCTTTCTGGCTCTGCTTAGGCTCTCTCATTCCGTGTGTGTGTGTGTGTGTGTGTGTGTGTGTGTGTGTGTGTGTGTCCATCTCCCATTATGTCTTTGTCTTCTCTCTCTGTCTCTGTCTCTGTGTGTACCGTCTGGGGTTTTCTTTAGCTCCTGCTTCAACGTCGCTCTGCGTTGGGCAGCTAGTGTGACGTGAAGCACCACCCCCCCCGCGCCCTGCTCCTCGCGCCCTGCTCCTCGCGGCTCTTCCCTGTCACGACGGACCAGAATGCGGGGCCACTTTGATCGTGTCGCTGTTGGCGGTTGCGCCCGACCCCACATGACTGATTTGATCCACTACCGACAGTAGAGCGCATCAAAAGCCCGCGCAGTTGGCTGTCATGTCGAATTCACAGCCGGCGACACAACAAGAAGCCAAAAACTTGACAAAAGCGAGCGGCGGGCTCCTTTACCAACACCAAATGTCAGCCGGGGCCCCTGGTCTCAAATTTCGGTGCACATCAAAAACAAGGCACACCTCGGATTTTTCATGCGCTTACGGTACTCATTGTGGCGTCGCGGGTGGACGGTGACCATCCTGTCACATGCCAGCCCCACCTCAAAGCGACCCAAACCAAAAAAAAAAAAAAAAACCGCCTTGGCTCCTTTACCAACACCAAATGGCAGCCGGGCAGCTGATCTCAAATTTAGGGGACACGTCAAAGCAAGGCACACATCAGGTCCTTGACGCACGTCCGGTGCTCACTGTGGCTTCCTCACCCACCTGGGACCATCCTGTCGCACAGCACTACCGTCAGAATCATCTGGCGGTTCGCGCCCCCAAAAGATCACACTTGCGCTCCCATTTTGGCATGGATAGCATTTCCAAAAGCGGGTCGCAGATCGACTTCTCACCTGCATGCGGGCTTTGTGCCGAATCTGAACAGGCTCCGCGGCTCCTGGGCCTGGCCAGCGCGTCCATCAGCGCACCAGCCGTCACGGCTCCTCACGGTCAAATCCAGGAGGAATTGTCTTGGCAGCCCAAAACACGACAAGATCAGGAAGATGATCCATCCACGACGGTCGCACGGCAATGTTGTTTGGCCACCCGTTCATCCCTGTCGTCGCTTGCACCTCGACAGCGCTCGCCCCTGATGCCACAACGACGACAAACCGCACCATCATCATCAGGAGTGCGCCCGCCGCCCATGGTCCTGTTTCATCCTCTGTGCTTCATCACGATGTTCAAAATTAAAAATTCAAGCAAAGCTTAAGGGAAGGAAGAGAGGCAAGAGGTTAATGAAGCAAAGATACGACTAGTTGAAGCCGATCATGGCCAGTCAATCTAAGAAGATGCAGTACATTCAGCACTTATTGAAGCGATCTCTGACATTCTCTGTCTCTCTCTGTGTCTCTCTACAGCAAAGCAAAGCCAAGGGGTTAATGAAGCAAAGCTCCAAGTAGTTGAAGCCGATCATGGCCAGTCAAACTAAGAAGATGCAGTATATTCAGCACTTATTGAAGCGATCTCTAAAAGGATGACATTCTCTGTCTCCTCCCTTGAAAATCCTGTCTTATTTTGTAAAAAAAGTAAAAAACTTTTTGTGGAGATGTGTGTTGAAACGGACTCTCGAGTCCTGGAGACTCTTGATCTTGAGCCAATCTCCGTCCTGCAAGGG